AGGATTAAACTAAAGTTTTGAAAAGTTTGCTTGGGTAGTTACTGAGAAAATGAAAAATTTAAAAAAAGTCATCTTTTTCCTCTTTCCCTGGCAATTGTAGGCATTTAGAATTTTTTGAATGCTGATTGAACAAAAAGAGTATCTAATCATAATTTCTCTAAGTTTTCATCACAATTGTCCAAACCACCTCGAAGAACATTTGTGCGTACATGTATATCTAGATTTTTCTATTTCTTTCAATCCTAAGGCAACTGTTTGCAAAAGATTCTTCCAATTTTTTTATTAGTCAGCCCACGGGCTGACTAGTTATCTTACGATAACTCCCTGGAATTCTGGGAGATAGACTGGTACCCTGACATTGGTTAACCTACGCAAGCGATTCTGGGAGGTTGACGTAGAGTAAGTCACTCCTGTTGATTTCGTTTCAGTAAAATAAATATTGATTAAACAACGAAATCCCTATTTTAACACCATTTACCAATAAAATGTAAATACAGATTAAAACTGTAAGGCGTTTGGTGCTGATTTCTTTGGAAAAACCACCTATATTGAGGTTTTTTGTAGTTTGCATTTTCAACAGTTTTATAATCTGGTTCGCTGTAAATGAAGGAGGAGAAGGACCTTGAGCTGAAAAAATACTTGTCATTCAATTTTTTTCCCCCATATTTTGTATATTTCTAATTAAGTATGTCCCACATATCTTAAAGCAGTTATATCATTAGGTTTCTAACCTTATTTTGGAGATATTGATATTGATTGACAAATACTATGCCCTACAGTATCTAAGTGGAGTTTTAATTCTCCATGTTTCCGGGCGCATTACTCTGTCCATAATTTTAAGCATACATAAAAATTTCAAAGTGGACATGTATCTTTTAAAATATTTCAGAGTATACCTAGGATTTAAAATTCGAAAAAGCAAGTTTTGTCTATTACACTGCATATGCATCTGGATAGGGAAAATTACGCACTTTTTAAGACAACTTAAACAATAAAAAACGTAATTTACCAAAAATTCTATCATTCAATATTTTTTAATTTACGTTGAAATGCAAATCCTTCAAATTATTGATTAACTGTTAGTAAAAGTTTCGAACGATGAAGCTGACCTTATTATTTCACAGGACATCGTTAAAGAGGGCATAAGCGTGACAAAAACGTGTCATGTTACATTTCTCGAGTACGGGAAAAACCAACTATGACGTCACACGTAAGCTAAATAAGCGAAATAAGATATACCTACATAAGATTTCCATCATCAGCCATGCAAAAATAATTTTTGTGTTCCCCGTTTCTCAAAATATTTCATCATATACTGATTATGACCTGATTTTACATAATAATACCGCCCCTCTGTTCACCGAGTATGATCTTGCTGTACTAACAGATCGTGTATGACGTCACCGACTTATTGGACGCGCAGTTTAGGGAAACAGAGGAGTGGATCAATCTTTTTCATAATTTGTTAATATTTACAAGAATGTTAAAACTTTTATTTTTTTTTCTATAAGATGGTAATTAAAGTTAAAAAATTGTCAAAAAAATATACAAGAACTGATGCTTTACACGTTTTGCACTTATATAAACGGAGACTATGACGTAGTTAAACAGAGTCATGTGACCATGTGTCCTTCATCCCCTTATAACTGGTTCGCGTCTATTCATAAAACATGTGTTCTACGCAACGAAGCATAAAATTGTATAAATTCATTTTACTCAGTGTTTGGCGCGTCAGTTGAAACACTTTCGAAAGTATCTTAAATGTATTTTACATGTGTATCCTGCATAAATATTTGATTATTTCAGATTTTGAAGCTTTGGTATTACTTTCGTTTTCATTTAAAGCATTTCGATCCCGATGTTAATTACCAAATTGTAAAGCATGCAATGGATAGATCGGGAGAAACACAGCTGGCTTCGCCTGCTACATTCTTTTTTTATGCCCCCGTAATCGAAGATTCGAGGGTATATAGTTTTTGCCCTGTCCGTCTGTCTGTCTGTTTATCTGTTCGTCCGCAAAAACTTTAACTTTGCCCATAACATTTGAACAGTTAGTACTAGGGCCTTCAAGTTTCACAGGTGTATTCCATGTGACGAGACCTTTCTTTGGATACTAACAATTTTGACCTTTTGACCTTGACCTTGGAGTTTGACCTACTTTTGAAAAAAACATTGACCATAACTTTTGAACAGTTGGTGCTAAGGCTTTAATATTTCACTTATGTATTTATTGTGATAAGACCTTTCCATTGGTACCTTTAATTTGACCCTTTGACCTTGGTGTTTGACCCACATTTAAAAACTTTATTAACCTTGAACATTATACATATATTACATGGCTTCGAGGGCAACATACCAGAATATTTGCCCCCGAGGTGACAGGAAAGCCCTGGAGTGTTATGTCGCCCGATGCCTTCGGCATCGGGCGACATAAAACTCCAGGGCTTTCCTGTTACCGAGGGGCAAATATTCTGGTATTGTTGCCCGAGAAATCATGTAATATATGGTATATAACATTTTTAAAAAACCAAAATCGGACATATGTATTGAAGACTATGGACCTGTGTAAATATCTGGAAAAAACATGCAAATTGTTTTTTAAATAGTTGATTGGTGGGTACCAATTGTTTCGATAATAATGCTAAGGAACATTAACACTATTGTTGTTAAAATGATAACGGGGGACAGCTGAAAGTTATGAAGGCTGATTTCTCTTCCTCTATAAATAATTCCGAAATATTCCGTCTTGTTTCATTGCAGAATGTTTTCAGCACGCTGACACTTGTGCTTATAACTTTTGTTGTATTTACGGAATTTTTCTCCTCAATCAAACTATCTAGTTCCCCTGAATTTAAATGAACAAAAAAAAAAAAAAACGTAGACGTTTTCCAGACATTTTCATTTTCGCGGAACTGTTTACGTTTGCTTAGCAACTGCCTCTGTGAATTTCGAACCCGATTTAATTAATATGCAGAATGATTACACGCGAGGGAATATAACGGTGTTCAGGAGGGCAACATAACTGTTTCCGGTGTAATATAACTATATCCGGCGTGATTCAGCAGTTTTTCAGGGCATATGGATAAAAATATCATATTTGTGATATAATGGGAAAACTTCTTCAAAAATGTTATATAACTTTTAAATGGTTTTTGCTTGGGCTTTCATATTTCACAGATATATTCAATGAGAACAAGACCTTTCTTTGGTAACAACATTTTTCATCCACTGACCTTGCAGTTTGATTTGCATTTGAGAAACTTAAACCTTCGCCAAAACCTGTCATACGGGGGCATCAGTGTTTCACAAACACATCTTGTTTTATATTTGAATCCTTATTTGTTCATCTGTCTATCATTAGATTAGACTATTAGGCTGTGGAAATTCAGGTTGGCTTGTAATCATGAAAAGATTGGTAATAAATTTGTAAAAGTGTTTTATTCTATTTTCATTTTCTACATTATTTCAAATGTCAAGAAAAAATTTAGTTAGGTAAAAAAAAAAAAGTCGACATACTAAAATATAAAAAAAAACCGCAAAGTACAGGCTCTAACGAAGCTTACATGTTCATGATGTTACATGTATGATGCCTGTGTTGTTCAGTAAATATTAATTTTTTATATTCTAAAAGTTAAATGATTATTTTGCAATTGTCATTTATTTATAATCTTAATTAGGGGGTTCAGTATGGCTGTTCAGGATAACGGTGTTTCCTCCTTTGTCTGGGAGCAGTTGACCTAGACAATCTCTACCAGAGAGCACTTTGCAAGTTTCACTAACACCCGTTAGCGAAGTTTGAAAAGCTCCTTCTGGAAGAAAATGCCGACGTGAATACTTCAACGCTCTTTTTCCCTAAATAATAATGTAATAATAAAGTTTGAGTAAACGTCTTTGACAAGATTAGAGGGTAGATCCAGAGGGGTGGTGGTCCAGGGGATTCAGTCTTAAAATCAACGAAAGTTGTCAAAAAAATTAAATAGAAAATTAATTGTAAAACTGGCTATAGAATGTTGCGTATTAAAGCAGAAGTAGTGTAAATTGGGTGCGAGGTTAGTGTAGGGGGTTTGAAAGCTGCCTAAACGTCTTTGTGGCGAACCCCCCCCCCTCTCATAATATCCAAGATCAGCCTGATGTGAGCGGCTACTGACTTTTAATGGAATTATCTATGTGAATTTGAACATAAATAAATAAACTTTTCGTTTTTGTATTTAATTCACAAAATAATGCGAGACCTGCATGCATGGGGTCGTTTTAACCCCAAACTCTCCGCTCCCATGCTGAAAAACTGGATCAACTGGCCAAATCGGCTAAAGATAATGCTGAAATCAATTTTCTTTATACAAAATTTCGGTTTCCTAATGCTTTTAAACATTATCAGGAAAAAAGAAAAATCCACTGGCTGACTCTCTAAGCTATTTTTAAAAGCTAAACTTGTATGGAAATAGCTTTGACAGAATGTAAGGAACAATCCTTCAAAATTTCAAAATAATTGCCTTAGCAGTTCGTTGCCAATTTTTACTTTTCTTCTGTTTCCATGGCAACGATGGGCGAATTGAAGTTTTTAAAAAATATCTGAACAATTACTGATTATCAATTATCATATCTATGAAGTTATATTACGATTGTCCAAGGGATCAGCGAGAACACAAAATTCTTCACTTTTCGTACATTTCCATGGCAATGGTAGCCATGTTGAAACTGAAAATGTTCACTGCACAACTACAGCTGATCATCATCTTTTATGAAAAGTTTCAGTAAGATTTTCCCAGCCATCTGCGAGAGAGTCCGTGGACAACGTTTTTAGGCGTACAATAGCAATATCCCCCCCTCCCCCCGGATTCGTTCGGGGTGACATAATTACAGAGTTGTAATGCTTAATTAAAGTCTGTGAAATACATCAATAAGATATTCTTTTTACAATTTTACTTCCTAAAATAACAACAAACGGACAATGCACGTTATTTGCAAGATTATTCTGATTCATCTTCCGTCAAACTTACCACAAGAAACGCCGACGTCCTCGTTCGCATTACAGTTATTCTGCCCCCATCCCTGAAATCTACAGGCTGATATATCCGTCTCATTGCCTTTACAAATAACGTCATCCATGAGAATATTCCCTGTTCCTGGTCCAAATTGAGCACTTCCGTATGCTTTGGCATAGCTGTCCAAAACAGTATAAGTTTTGGGTTGTTTCCCATTGTACACCAGTTTTCGTTTTTGTGATTGAGCCAATCAATAAAGTAAAAATTTTAATAATAATAGAATAGGAGGAATTAACTGTCCACACATTTTCATGTCTAACTTCTCTCTCTCTCTCTTTCTCTCCCAAAAAAGAAATTTTTGTTACCATGAAAATTGATGATACCACAGTATTTATACAGATAACATTGTTGAGATTTATTTACATGTACGTTTAATGGAGAAATATATATATGGAAAGAAATACATGTATACGATAATTTAAAAGGCCTTAATATCTGGAAAAAGTGTTCTCAACAATGAAGTCATTTGTTAACAAAATGTATATGATTAACATTCCATAGTATAAAACAATATCATTGGCTCAAGAAAATGATTTAAGGGGGTTTGATCATGAGCTTTTGAGCAGATTATTATTTGGACCCCTATTTCTAAAATTCTGCATCATATTTTAGTTCTTGCTATAAATTTGGATTCTACAATGCCAATTAAACTGTATTCAATTAAAGGACCCATGAATAAATTCCATACAAAAAGCATTAAGCAAGGAACTATAGCTTTGGTGGAAGTTTTTTAAAGAAGAAAATAATAATTTTTTTCAAATCGGATTCGTATTTTTCTATGCAGTCTGCACATTGAGTTATTTTGTGCAATGAAATGTTTTATGCTGGTCCCAAAATATATATCAAATAAACTTTTGTTAATTCTATCATCATATTGTGACAAATACAGCAAAGATATCGTGAAAGTCCAAAAAAGCCCCAATTTCATCTAAAAATTAACGCTTTTTAGTAATGTCGAATACCGGTAATTGACCCCAACTTTTCTGAATATATGATAATTTTAAAGATTCTGCTTTAATTGAGAAAAAAATTAAGACTTAACAATAATTTTATTGCTTGTTTATTGTGTTTCGATAGTGTCATTTGCAGAAGTGTAGCTGTGCGTTAGAAACAATGCGCCGGTGTAACGTAGAATATTGACCAAAATTCAACAGTCCAGCTCAATTTTCAACAGGCTAGGGTCTAAATTCAACGCTGATGATCTCAATATTCAACGTTGAAAAAAGACCACCCGGGTCAGTTTTCCACCCGGATCAAAACTGTGCAAAAAATGTAACAACGCACCAGCGTTGTTACTTACACGCTGTTACACTTTTGCAAATGGCTCTAACGGGACACCATACTTGTTAAATGAAATGACATTCTTTGGGTGCAGAAAGGTCAAATGATTAACGAAATTATGCCAAGTACATGTAATCTAATTTTATTTTTGGCACATGTACAATTTTTAATGTGTCTTTTTAAGATATATTAAGATTGTATTTGGTCCCGTAATTTATTTGGATAAAAATATTGGAGGAAAAACTTCGAAAAAGTGATTTTGTGTAAGACGCAATTACATGTACAGTGCAAAAAGGTCATAATAAATGCACCATAAGTGTATTGATCCCCATTTTTTGTTTTGAATTTTAACTTAGCTATAGCTTTGTGTGTAGATACCTAAAATATACGTGATAAAAAATTCTAAATTCGTAAGACTTTTGAAAGCAGGATGCAACCTCCTTAAGGAAAATGGGGAAAAATATACAGACTTACACATTTTTGTATCGCAGCATTCGACAGACAACAACTGCATCTTCTGGCCCAAAATTGTCGTCACACACTGTACCCCACCCACCGTGGTAAACCTCCACCCGACCCTCGTTTGGTCTTACTCCATTCACCAATCGAATGGATGTAGAAGTTCCTATTGGTAATAATTGTTTTGTCGTCATAAAAGACAGGAAGGATGTTTTATATGTGATTTGAAACACCCCACCTAGTGGGGAGAGGAACCATACTTTTGCTTGAAATTCCCATCGAATATTTTCCACGAATATTTTTCATCAAAATTTAAAATTGGTCTTACCATGCACTAGGTTCAAGAACTGCAGTACTGCAAGCACTCCCTATACGGCGAATAAAAAGTACAGAATACTGAATTTGTTAAATGGTTTTCATTTGTAATTTATGCCATAACCACATACTTCACACAAAACAAGCGTAGTAAATAACACACTCGTATAACTTACCCAAGCTATCCTTGGAATTAAACGTTTCCAACTCATTTTAATAATGATAAGAAATAAACACGGTCATGAAAACAAAGATATGACAATGTTGAATGTGTAGTTATCAGATAAAATAGAATCATTGTCACCCCAGAGACTCAAAGAAAGAAATTTTAATTATACCTACTGGTTGACATAAGATCGTACAAACTACCGGTGTTGAAGAGTAGGATTTCCCCCGTAGCCAGCTTCCCCCCCCCCCCCCCCCGGGAATCTGTACTCCAAAGTAGGATAAGATTTCTCCCCGAGGAGAAATCTCACAATAGAGCCAAATTTCCCCTCTTTCTTTCTTTCTCAGAGTAGGATTTTCCCCCTCTTTTATCAATGCTTAAATCATATTGAACATATTTTGGCTAAAAGTTTATAAGAAAGTCAACTGATTTTTTAATGTAAATATGAATGTTTTCTACTCAAGAATTGTCAAATTTAGTATGAAATCTTAAATTATTGAGTCTCAACCAAGAATTGTAACTCATAGGAAATTGTAAAATTAGTCACTCAAAAATCGTAAGAATCGATGTCTCAACACCCTCTCTCGGCGCCTGTTTGTTCGCAATTTTAAAATGTATATCAGGCCACCTTAGTGATAAGATAATTTTTCCCCTAAAAGACCCCATAAAATTTTATCTGTGGTACGATCCTTTTTACAAAGAGTGTGTGAGAAAATTCTAAAAATTTGTTATTAAAGGTTCCACATACTATTTTGTGAGTATTGGAATCGAGTTCCTCAAAGGGAAAAAAAAGCCAAAACTAAAAACTAACAAAGTAAGAAACACTATTGCAAGCCAAAAAATAAGACTGTCTCCTCGATCCCAGAGTGTAATATTTGATTTGAAAGCAGATAGCAAATACTCTCTTAAAGTTTTGCAAAATTTCAAATTTTTAGAAATAAATGACTCATTTTTAATTCCATGGCAACTGCAGCTATTTTAGATATTTAGCCAGGAAATGAGAGAGACACTTAGATATCATCATAAAACAATTTTCTTTCTCCCCCCAATCTGTGTTATTTTCAAATTAATAGAATAAGGCTACCTCGCCTAATTCACGAAATGATTTTAACAATGTCTACAACATAGACAACACATATTTACATTTAACTTGTGAGAGTTAATCTTATTATTTCTCTCTACGATTTAATAAAAAAGAAGTTTCTCCCATTGTTAAGTCCATATTAGAATAGCTTGACAATTTAGCAAAGTTAAATTTTCTCGTGACTTACACTGTATGGTTACACAAAAGATTCGTAGAAAAGACTCCAAGATACAATTCTTTATTATAGCGCAAGAGAGTAATAAGAAATAAAAATAAGATTTCGTTTTTAATTAAAAAAAATCAGATGAATACTTCTGTCAAATAAACAAGTCAGAGACATATCTTAAGGGCAACGTATTACAAATCTTGACAGAATTACGTGTATAACATATTCATAGTGTACTCATGAAAAAGGCGATTAAAAAACTCATTTATTTAAACCAGAAGTTTCTGACGAGACTGTAGCTCCACTGGCTCGTTCCTATAGCGAATGAAGATAAAAATAGTAATTTTACTTGAAACTAGTCTATTTGTCCGATAATGAAAATTATGTCCCTTAATATAGTCTACTTGTGTACCAAGTTTTATTGCAATAAAAAAAAAAATTAGGAAGAGTAGCGTTTTGAAAGAATTTCATAGACCTGAAATTTCCATTTTTAGTAACCATAACAACACCGTTCGTGGAAACTAAAAACTGATACAGATGATTTATGTATATTAGGATAGTCTACCTGTGTACCAAATTTTATTAAAATTAGACCAAAAAAGCAGGAGAACAACAGGTTTCGAAAAACAGACAGACGGACGGACGACAGACATCTTATCACTGCATAAGTTCTTTGGCCAGTAGAGCTTTAAAAAATGGAATCAATAAATTGAAAACTATTAATTTATAAATGATACGTTTTATCCTTTGATTTATTTCTGAGAAAACTGAGTTCTATAGAGGTTCTGTTAAAACTGTCAGAAAATCCTGCATCAGGTCGCATAAAGGGCACGAAATAAAATAGCCTCTTCATTTCGTGCCGAAAGTGAGTGGCGGTGATTAAATAAATGAAGATATTACAGCTGTACTGCGATAAACCGATCTCGTCTACGGCTTTCTTCGCCCTGTACCACACAAAATGATCGGTCCATACATCGTCATTTTTCATTTCAGTCAGCGAGAGTTTTAAACTACCAGGCTTGAATTCCCCCTGAAGAGCGAATGCGATCGTCACCGGTATAACTGTTATGATCCTGTAAAATGACACGCACAATAACGTTAAGGTGGAGGGACTGTGTTTTATTTTAGTCTGATGGGCAGATTTATCAGGTGTGGACTTTCTTCGACAAAGAGGTAAGGTACTTTGTCGTTTCTTGTCGGCCTTAGAAGCCGCTTTCATCACTAGAGAGTTTAGAACAAGTGACGTCACAGGAAATATAACGAAAACGAGGGTGTCTGAAATCCAGGACCAAACGGCGTAAAAGTCATGATGCGGTCCTTGACATTCGCCCTGTTGTACTTCCCACGAAAATATCTGAGGTATGGCCAGCAAGAGGGCAAGCATGGTAATACCACTTATCTCAAGAGGGCCACGATTTGTAACAGAAAATCTTTGACTTTTGAATGGAGTTTTAATTGACAAAAATCGCTCAATTGTAAATCCAAGAATTAAAAATGGACTCATATACATGGCAAACATGTAAAACACAAAGTAAACTTGGCACCATCCAGCAATGTCGATACTTGGGACTCCCCAAGCGAATTTAAGTTCCTGGATTACATGCAGAAAAAGATAAAACAAATCCGTAAAAGCGAGCACAATTAAATAAAGCGCAGAAATATTTGTCCTGCTCACGCGTCTGGACCATATTTTAATAGTCAGAGAATTTCCTGTAATTCCAACACAGTACCAGAAAATAGTGACGTAGCGATCGAACCAAACGGTCATCGGCGCAAACTCCGAGATGATACAGATGTATGCTTTTCCCCTGCTGTTAGACATCATGGACATAGCACACCGGTAATCTGTTAGATTGGAACTTTCCGAATTGTTCTCCATATTCTGAATTAGGACAGACAGGTTACTGTAAGATAGAATGCTCATAGTTAAAAGGAATAACAAGTGAAACGATTAAAATCCTGATCTTCAATAATTATCAATAGTATGCATTCTCTAGCAAAATGGGAATGACAAACCATATTAACCTATATACACAGACTTGAAATCAAGCTGTCGCCATTCTCCTAAATTAAATTATCTACATAAATCTCACATTGCTCTGTTAATGTCAACATTAGCAGAGGACTTCATCAATGTAACAGACGCCACTGCAAAATATATCCTTGCTAAAATTGGATAAAACTTTATGACATTCAAATTTTAGATAGAGAATAAAAGAAAAAAATGTATACTGTATGTTTTATCTGAAGATAATTATGAGGAGGAAATTTTTGTATTTAAAATTGGAGACAAGAACCTAGAAATTCAAAGAAACCAGAAGAGACTTCTACAAATATCTGCTGGTTAATAGGAGTGAAAGGCGTCGCAACAAATCAAGGGTTTCTTTGTTATATTTCATAATTCATGATAAGAATATTATTTCTGTATACTTGAATCTGCGAATTTGAATATGAATGTTTTAATTAATTTTTAACAAGAGGCCCGTGGGCTTTGTTGGTCACCTGAGTATCGTTAGTTTCTCAGGCTATGGTCGCTTTAGCCCCCATCTGGAACTGCATGGAATTCTGTCCGCATGTGATAGAAATTTTACAGTTTTGTAAGGACTCTATACTTGTATAATCATTATCATATTCATGCAGCTTGTTACTAGATATTCGCAAACGAATTGCCTGCTAATTATAAATTTCCATTTGTGATGAAGAAGATTTACAAAGATGTAATTTTAAATTTATTTTCAATATATGACAATTTTGGCACCATCCTGAAGCCTGAACCATAGGCCAGGAAGCCGTGAATTTTACAATTTTGTTAAAAAGCTAAGAGTTAATTGTGATCAGGCAAACAATTTGCCTGCTAGAGAAGATTTTCAAAATTATAACGCATTTTCAATTTATATGACCAACATAGGTCCACCAATCTAGGGTCATAAATTTTACAGCTTTGGTAAAGGGCTCATTATATATTTCAATCAACAAGATCGATTCCCAGAGGAGTATGAAGGCTCTCCGAAACAGAACACCATTTACAGCGGACAGGAGCTGAATTGAAGGATCGCTGCGATATTGATGAATCGCTTTTGAGATCCTGGGTCATTAATTATACGTGACAAGCTTGAAATGGCTTAAAGATTTTTTAAGGATATGTTGACTTTACTTTACAAAATCATTACAAAGTGTGGGTACCCTAATTTGCGACATGGCCGTGTTACATCACAATCATATGGCCCCACCCTAGCCTCATGGACAATGCTTTAAACAAACTTGAAACCACGCTTCATATGGATTTTTGCATGGTATTATGACTAATAGTGGGTGTGCTTCGCTAAAGATTACATGTATTTTCCTATTATTATATCAAACTTAGACTTGTACCAGCTGTATACTAGCTCTGGGGGATCTGGATTTGAACAAATGTTAATCTACACAACATTGGAATGCTTGCAAATTAAAATGATTAATTGTGGTCCCGCTGTTTTCAGCAGAATATGAGAGATTTATATTCTACTTTCCAACTAAAAATTTGACTCCCTATTGTGGCTCCACCCCCTAATTCCAAGGATCAGGAGTTTGATAAGCTTTAATCCACACTTCATAGGTATATTTCTTGTACTCATATTTATTGTAATGCTCTTGCTCAAGAAGATCTTAAAAGAAATTCTCGTGTTTCAGATAAAAAACTTTGACCGCATATTGTGACCCCACCACAGCTTCGGAAGCCATGGTTCAAATTAAATCTTCACTATACATTTGAATGCTTGCATATTAATATGACCAGTAACGGCCCTGCTGCGGTTGAAAAAAAATCATATATTACGTTAAATAACCCCTTATCAAGGCTCCATCCTAGCAAATTTGACACTACACTACATAAGAAAACTTTCTTTTAAGTTACATTTTTTTCTGGCGCAGTGGTTCTTGCGAAGAAGTTCTTTAATATGTTTCCGATGAAAAATGTGATCTTTCTGATTTATTTTCTCCATTCTCTGATTCAAAAGATTTTTAATGCAGAGAATGACTTTGTCTTCGTAAATCTGATGCAGTTTTCGTGCACAAATCAAACTATGTTTGCATTTTCCTCGGAAAAAATTCTGACATGGATGCGGATAAATTAGTTAAAGATCCATGTAATAGGTTTCTGTAATGAGATCGCCCCCTGCAATGAGTGGTGATTTCCTTCCAAAAGTATTTATTGTAACGTATAACACAAATATAAATCATTCAATTCCCTGAGCTAATGTTTTGCTAAGCTTTCCATTTTGTTACAAAATAAGCTTTGTAGTCGGGTTTTGTTATGTGTTCCTCGAAGTTCTTAAAGAAACCAAGCGACATTTCCTATACAAATGCCATGTTGTTGTTTTCTTAAATGATCTTATATGTTATACTTAAATTTTGATTTCTTAGGAATCACCATCAAGGAATCAAGTATGTACAATAAAACAAAAATACTGACAAAAAAGTAAAATAATAAAGTTAAGCAAAATAATGCCAAAACTTTTCGAGTGAGATTAAGTTGAAACTAGAACTGTCCAAAATGGACAAATAACCCCACTTGGTTTTTCAGAGAAGGTGACAATTCGCTAATACTAGAATTTGATGGATCTAAGAGGTGTTCACAATTTAGAGTGAAAATTTACCGGTAATTGCTCATTATATATTTTAATGAGTGAAACTATGGTGCAGCCTAATAAAACATCAATACTAAAAATAGCATTGTTTTTTATTACATTGAAAAAATAAATAACAATCTTTCAAGTATTTCTCTATTGGAAAGTATGGATGCATTATTTATCCATTTTTTACTACAGTGACTATAGGTCAAGATCATGACACACCCTCAGGTCATAAGCAATCTTTATGTAAAGTGGAAACTCCCAAAATCATTCTCCACAAGAAAGATATGGACCGGACAGGAATTATGAACTTTTTTCTGTAATTGACCTTGAACTTGCCCAAATGACCTTGAATCAAGGTCATGACACACCCTCAGGTCAAAAGCAATCTTTGTGTGAAGTAGAAACTCCCAACATTATTCTCCATAAGAAAGATATGGACCGGACAGGAATTATGAACTTTTTCTGTAATTGACCTTGAACTTGCCCAAATGACCTTGGGTCAAGGTCATCATGACACACCCTCAGGTTATGAACAATTTTTGTGTAAAATGAAAACTCACCAAGTTTATCCATGAGAAAGATATAAACAAGATACGAATTATGAACCTTTTCTTTCAGTGACTTTTAACTTGCCCAAATGACCTTGGGTCAAGGTCATGACACACCCTCAGGTCATGCTCAATCTTTTTTGTGAAGTAGAAGATTCCAATGTTCCTCTGTAAGAAAGATATGGACCGGACGCGTTTTGCACAGACAGACAGACGGACAGCTAGACGGACGACTAGACGGACAGACGGACAAGGTGATATCTATACACTCCCCCCCCCCCCGAAAGAAAAAAAACTTCGTTTGCAGGGGGTATAATGGCATAACAATATCAAATATGTACACTATACAAGGCTTATTATAAAACAGCAAGCAAGCAAGACTAGACTGAAGCTAGCAGCCAATAACAGCAGCCATTAAGCCCGTAGAAGCTAGCAGCCAATAAGGAAATTCATCAAAGGACTGAGAGTACTCTGACGCAATACTGCTTAATGCCTCATTTTCGACAATTTATAATTAATAATTAGATAATTAATGCTACACTTAATTATTTGATAATACAAACACTTGGAGGCAGTTAAGCTCACCTGCATAAGGAAAATTATGCGGTTTCAAAACAAACAAACAAACAAAAAAAAAAAAAGAGAGAGAAAATGTCACCATCTTTGACCGCTTAAGAACAAACCAACATTGGAAATAGGTTAAGTACTTCCGGGAGAATCCCTTTTAAGCTCTTTTACGGGTCTCAGGAACATGATGGTGCCAAAAGGCTAACCTGAAATTTGCTTACTCCTAATATTTACATTGATAAGGGTTTGAAGGTAATTTAATCTATTTTAAGTTATTATCCTTGAAATGTGCTTCGAACAATTACTGGCACAAAGTAAAGGGTCCACAGGGCTATTATATACGCCCATGAAAATTAGGCTGAAGTGGTACCATCAAGTGGTGCCAAGGGTGGGTTACATATTTCAAGCAGCTATCATACCTCTTATCTTATAAGTGTGGTGTGCTTTAAATCATTACTGTGGCAAGATAGATTTCTAGGACAATCATTTCCCGCAATTGGTATGAGGCTGTAGTGGCACCACCAAGTGGTGCCAACGGTGGGGAACATATTTCAAGCTTTCATTTTTCAACCATCATTGACCACTAGAACAAACTAACACTAAACTGGAAAAAAGTTAAGGGCTTTAGGGAGTATCCCTTGTCAACTTTTTGACAGGTTTCAATGACTAGAAAAGAAAAGGCCAGTTAGGTAACCTGAACTTTGTTGTATTTCACTTTGTCTATTGATATATGGATTAAAAGTCAGATGTTATTCCCCTTATCTTTGAAGTGTGCTTCAAATCATTATTGGGGCAAGGTAGAGGGCCCCTAGGACTATCATTTCCCGCTATCAAAATGGGGCTGTAGTGGTACCACCAAGTGGTGCCAAGGGTGGGGGACGTATTTCAAGCATTCATTTTGAAAGCATCTTTGGCTACTAGAACAAAGTAACACTAGTGAAAGGTTAAGGACCTTAGAGAGAATCACTTGCCTGTTTTTAGAGGGTCCCTGGGAAAGGAAGGGGCCAGTTATCTAACCTGAACTTTGTTGTTTTTCACTTTGTGTTTTAACTTCTGCTTAAAGGTCAGCTATTATACCCCTTATCTTTGAAGTGTGCTTCAAATCATTACTGGGGCAAGGTAGAGGGCCCCTAGGACTATCATTTCCCGCTATCAGAATGGGGCTGTAGTGGTACC